AATTAAATCCACAAACTGGGCGCCTGGGTGGTTCAGTGGGTTAAGCCTTTGCCTTCGGCTCAGGTCATGATCTCAGGGTCCTGGGATCGGGTCCTGCATCCAGCTCTCTGCTCAGCAGGGAGCCCACTTCCCCCACCCCCTGCCTGCCTCTGCCTACTTGTGATCTCTCTCTGTGTGTCAAGTAAATAAATAAGAAATAAAATAAAACTAAAATAAATCCACAAACTAGCTTTAGTTTATTTGAAACTAAATTTTTTATTTAGTTTATTAAATTTATTTGTTTATTTATTTTATTTAGTTTATTTGAAACTAGCTTTAATATCAAATATTTCCCCACATCACATGTCCCAGAAATTGATCTGGATTAAGTTTCTTTTTTTTTTTTTTAATATTGATTTATTTCCCATAGTGTGTGTGTGTGTGTGTGCTTATGCGCACACATGTGGTAGGGAAGGGCAGAGGGTGAGTGTATCAAGCTGACTCCTCGCTAAGTTCACAGCCTGACACAGGGCTTGATCCCACCACCCGGAGATCACAACCAGAGCCGAAACCAAAAGTTAGACACCCAACCGACGGCACCACCCAGGCACCCTCATCTGGATTAAGTTTCTATTATATTTCTGAGAATTTAATTTATGTAAGCACTTGATTTTCTTTAAGCCACTTAAGGGGATATCTTTAACAAATTAATTTTGGCAATACCATCTGCAGTTAGAAAATGCTACGAATTTACACACACACACACACACACACACACACACACGTGGACATAGGATAGACACAGAAAGGCCTCACAGCTTCCACTCTCAGATTCCCACCATGATCGGCATTTGTGGAGGAGACACTTAAAGTTGTTATTGTTTCTTATTTGTTTAAATTTCAAATAAGCTTTCCTACTTTTGTTTTTCTTCTGATAAAAATGACTTCCGTGAAGTTGATATTTTACTTTATTTAAAAATTTTTAATTTTATTAATTTTTAAGTAAGCCTTATACCCAACTTGGGGCTTGAACTCACGACCCCAAGATCAAGAGTCGCACACCCCACCCACTGAGCCAGCCAGGTGCCCCTGACATTGGTATGTTAAAGACGTGACCTAGATAAAAGTTCCTGGAGAAGACGAGGTAGCACGCGTACATCTCAGAGGCACAAGGAGGAGCCTTTGGAGATCAGTAGGAGAGGTTGAGGGATTGGTAAAAGAGACTGACAGACGTTGAATATTCTGGAGCCTTACCTGGATTCTGTAAAGACTCAAGTTGTAAAACGAGGAGAGCTCTTTTTAATTCCTCGGGGAATTGGATTGCCTCCTAAAAGATAGCAAAAGACTAACATATCCATCCAACTATATTGGGAAGTTTTTCTGTCCCTTTGGATACATTTAGCACAGCAGTGAAGGCCAAAAAAAAAAGTTCTCATCAGGCTTGGAATATCATCCAACCACCTGTCCAACTTCCAACCATAGAGCTACTTAAACATTCTTTTAAATATTTTGTCACTTTCAGCTAGGACAAATGGCAACTCTTTCTGGTGTTATTAACCCTGTGGGCCCAGGAGCCATCCACAGGGCGGGTGTACAAGACACTATTGTCACAAGATCTGGAGTCACTCCCGAAGGTCAATGACTGTTGGCTTGGATTTGGAAAGGATAATGCGGTGCTGGCTCTCAGATGGGCCTTTGATCGAGGAGGGCAAGAGACCGGAAGAGGACCATCGGCAGCCTTGAGTGGTCTTATTTCAAAAGGTACCTGCTTAGCAGTCTCTCCCTAGGGGACAGGCAATGTACACGGCATCGTAGATGCTCAAGGGAGGACTGAGGGGAGCAGAAGGCTTGCTTTTCTCAGCCTTACAGTCTTTTGTTCTAGGTACATTTTGTATCTTTAATTTTTCATTAGCTTTTTACCATAAATCTTAGCCTTTTTGAAAAAAAAAATCTTAGCCTTTTGGAGGTTTCTGCATGCCAGCCAAAATAAGTATCCCGTTCTGCTTGTTTAATTTGAAAACCCTTACTTTCACGGGCACTTTTTTTTTAAAGATTTATTTATTTATTTGACAGACAGAGATTACAAGTAGGCAGAGAGGCAGGCAGAGAGAGAGAGGAGGGAGCAGGCTCCCTGCTGAGCAGAGAGCCCGATGCAGGGCTCGATTCCAGGACCCTGGGATCATGACCTGAGCCAAAGGCAGAGGCTTTAACCCACTGAGCCACCCAAGTGCCCCTCATGTTCACTTTTTAAATGAACAAACTTACCTCTAGGAACCTTCCCTGTAATGACCATTGTAATGTCTGGTTGTTTTTATTTAGTTACTTATTTTTAAATTTTTTAAATTTTTAAAAGATTTTATTTATTTGTTTGACACAGATAAAGAGAGAGACAGAAAGAAAGAGAGGAGATACAAGCAGGAAGAGTGGAAGAGGGAGAAGCAGGCTTCCCGCTGAGGAGGGAGCCCGATGCAGGGCTCAATCCCAGGACCCTGGGATCATAACCTGAGCTGAAGGCAGATGCTTAACGACTGAACCACCCAGGCGTCCCTAAAATTTTTTTTAATTTAAATTAAATATAGCTTATCTGGAGTGTATTGTTAGTTTCAGACACAGAATTCAGTGATTCATCAGTTGCGTAGAATACCCAGTGCTCATCACATCATGTGTCCTCCTTAATGCCCATCACCCAGCTGTCCCATCCCCCCACCAATCCCCCCTTCCAGCAACCCTCAGTTGGTTCTCTATTGTTAAGAGTCTCTAATGGTTAAAAAAAAAAAAAAAAAAGAGTCTCTAATGGTTTGCCTCCTTTTCTGTTTTTATCTTATTTTACTTTTCCTTCCCTTCCCCTATGTTCATCTGCTTTTTTCTTAAATTCCACATATGAGTGAAATTATATACCGTTTTTCATCCTTCTCTGGCTGACCAACTTCACTTAGCACAACACCATCTAGTTCCATCCCTGGCGTTGCAAATGGCAACATCTCATTCTTTTTGATGGCTGAGTAATATTCCATTGTATATACAGACCCACCACATGTGCTTTGTCCATGCACCTGTCGACGGGACATCTGGGCTCTTTCCGCAGGTTGGCTCCCATGGCCCATTGCTGCAATCACATGATTTTGCCATGTTCCTAGCTGCCTACGGTTTCAGGGATCACAGTTCTTAGATATAAACCCACCAGCTGTGCTGGGAGGGGGTGTGCTCAACTCTTTGGAATTCAAAGATCCTATTCTATCATTATTTATTTATTTTTCAGCTGTGACTTTGGGTATCTTGGAGCCAAACTAATACCCAAAAGGATGTGCCACTGTGAGTCGGGAACTGTGTGATGTTACACGGTGTACCTTGGTGCACAGAAATTTTCTTGAGGTTCGTAGGTGACCTCGTGTTAATCTCACCTCTTCCGTGACCAGCTTATCCTAACATAGAGTCTCTGGGTTCGGTGGCAGTGTTGTAGCACCTTTTAAATGCTTGAAATGAAATGAAATGAAATGACATGACATGACATGAAATAAAACAAAAATAAATATAAATAAATGCTTTAAATGCCCACCAATTTTGGTGGACTTTTTTGACTCCTGGAGTTCTCATGAGCAACTAGCCTTTACCTGTACAAGACAAGATGAAGAAACACATGCACCTTAATAGATCAGCAATAACTGAGACATGTCACTCTGTCCTGGCCCAGCAAATGGTCCCTGCACAGCACCAACAATTCCTTTGGAAGCTTGGACTGGGGAGAGAATTGAAGCAGCAGTCCCCAAGAGCTAGGGACTGGGGACTGCCACTAACAGTTCCCACATGGATCTTCAAAAGCAATTAAGGGCTAGGTGCTTTCCACTCAAGAATCTGGCGATTGCAGTCTAAAAGCCTAGAGGCTTGCCTCTGGGCAGACCCACTCGTGAGCACAGTTGGGCTCTGGACGGAATCGTCGCTACTCAGCCTGACCCGTCCTGCATCCAAAGGCCAGTTAGACCAGGAGTTCAGAACCGAGAGGAACTTACCGGTAAAGAAAGAGAACTCAAAAAAGAGGTTTTAGGGTACCACACCTATGTCTCTTGCCGTCCCCAAATGCCATCGGAAATTTGGCTTTGGGACATCAGGCTGGCTCAGTTGGTAGTGTCCTATGTTCAAGCCCCATGTTGTGCGTGGAGCCTACTTTAAAAAAAAAAAAGAAAAAGGAGTTTGGCTTTGAATTCTGTTACTTTAGATCTTTGAAGATCTAATTGGTTTTATTCAATGATTCATGACTTGGGCAGCATCCCTCCTAGCAAACAGAAAGGAGTTCCAAGGAGCTGTACAAAATGGAAAACTTCTTAAGGCAAAAGGCCAACAGCTTTTTTAAGGCAGCAACATGGAAGTCACAAATGGAAGAAAAGATTATTACAGTCCCCTTCCTTTGGGCAGAAGGACAGAGGTCTCTCTAGCAGATGACTTCACTAGGGCGGATCAGGAAATGCTACGCTAATTGGTTTAAAATTCCACTCCTAGGAGAGGCTAAAACTGCAATTAGGCAATTAGGTAATAAGTCTTGCTTGGCTGGAGTGGTATTTAGCACAAGTGACTCTATCTGGGGAAAGTTGTTGTTGTTTTTTTTTAATAGTTTTAAAAACAAATCTGTTGTAAACACCTGTGATTTTTATTTTTAAAGAAAATGTAAAATCTTGATTCTCAATCCTGGAATCACTTATGTGCTTTAAAAAAAAAAAATACCAGTGCAGGGGCACCTGGGTGGCTCAGTGGGTTAAGCATCTGCCTTCAGCTCAGATCATGATCTCAGGGTCCTGGGATCGAGCCCTGTGTCCAGCTCTCTGCTCAGCGGGGAGCCTGCTTCCCACCCCCTTCTCTGCCTGCCTCTTTGCCTACTTTCGATCTCTCTCTCTGTCAAGTAAATAAATAAAATCTTTAAAAAATTAAAAATAAAAATAAAATAAAAATGCCAGTGCAAAAAAAAAATTACCAGTACTAGGTTAAGCCCACTCCTAGGGATGCTGATGTCATTATTTGGCACGTAAGACATGGAGAAGACTGGAGAGGGCGAAGTGATTGTTGACGGAGTAGCCATGGGGCCGGCAGTGCTGTGGGAAGAAGGGATCACCTTACACCTGGGAGGTCAGGGCACAGGCAGGGACACTAATCTCTTTCTTGCCTGTTCACGGGACATCTGGCCAGTTTAACCCAGCCATTCGCTGCCACCCTCAACTTGACCACTGACTAATAAAGAGTCTTTTGGGGATGGGGGAGGGGCAGAGAGAGAGGGCAAGGGAGACTCTCAAGCAGGTTCCACTCCCAGTATGGAGCCCAATGCAGGGCTTGATCTTACCACCCTGAGATCATGACCTGAGCCGACATCAAGCTTAGACGCTCAACCAACCAAACCGCCCAGGTGCCCGTAATAAAGTCTTAATCAGACACCTGCCAAAAGCTGCTGAACCCAAGAGGGAGCAACCTCCACTCTAGAGGACAGAACGAGATGAACATTCTGGACACTGGCTTGGTCCCTTTGTTTTCCTGTTATTGTTGGATGGGTTTTTGTGTTCCTCACGGACTGGTCGTCACTCTAAACTCTCCAGCACAGGTGGCCACCGGCAATCTTATCGCCCTGAACTTCCTGCAAGCTTGGCAAGGTGAAGTGCGTGGCCGGCGGCCACTCTTGCTGTGTTATTTGTTCAATGACCTATTTGCTGGCTGGCTACAGAGGAGGGCTGGGCGGTGCAGCTCTGGGCAGCCCACAGAGGGGCAGTTGTGCTCAGTAGTCTGATGGTTTCTAAGACACGGAAAGTGGAGTGGGTCCACGGTAACCCACAGAATGGGAGAAAATATTTGCTGTTTATATATCTGAGGAGGGGTGGATATCCAGAAATACACAGAGGACACCAAAAGCTCCCTGACAAAGACGATTCAAAAAGAGGCAAAGGACTTGAATAAACATTTTCCAAAGACAGACAAATGGCCAGTAAGTATGCACGTGAAAAGATGCTCCATGCCACTGCTCATCAGGGGAACGCAGATGGAAATTACGATGAGATACCCTCCCAGACACGCATTAGATGGCTACTAATGACAGGTGCTGGCAAGGATGTGGAGAAATTGCCACATTTGGGCACTGTTGATGGGAACCTAAATGGCGAGGCCCCCTTGGAAAGCAGTATGGCGGTTCCTCCAAGCGTTAAACATGGGATTACATTAATGATCCAACAATCCCACTTTGGAGTATATACCCCCAAGAACTGAAAGCAGGACATCCAAGAGATATCTGTATGTCCACAGTGATTGGCAGTATTATTCACAAGAGCTAAAATGTGGAAGCAAACCACGTGTCCACTGATGGATGAGTGGATAAACAAAATGTGGTCTAGACAGACAATGGGATATTATTATTCCACCTTAAAAGGAAGGCAATTCTGAACACCCTACAGAACGGATGAACCACAAGGACATTATGCTAAGTGAAATACGCCAGTCACAAAAAAACCTAATCTGTGTTACTCCATTTATATGAGGTGCTTAGTTTGGTGAAAATCGTAGAGACCGGGAGTAGAAGGCTGGGGGCTAGGGGCTGGGGGAGTGGGGGATGGGGAGTTAGTGTTTCATGGGGACAGAGTTTCAGCTCAACAAGATGAGTTATAGAGGTAGACGGTGGTGATGTTTGCATAACATGGTGAGTGTACTTAATACCACTGAACTGTGCCTTTCAACATGGTTAAGCTGACAAATTTTATGGGGCACCTGGGTGGCTCAGTCATTAAGCATCTGTGTTTGGCTCAGGTCATGATCCCGGGGTCCTGGGATCAAACCCCGCATCGGGCTCCCTGCTCAGCGGGGAGCATGCTTCTCCCTCTCCCATTCCCCTTGCTTGTGTTCCCTCTCTCTCTGTGCCTCTCTCTGTCAAATAAATAAATAAAATATTTTTTAAAAGATGGCAAATTTTATGTGTATCTATCACAATTTTTTAAATCACAATTTTAAAAATTGGAAAAAATACTTGGTTCAAGCCCCTGTGAGTACAATTAACATCAGTGTCTGACAGGGTGGCCTCAGCTGCGAGTAAAGGGTTGGGGGTAGAATTTTAGGGGAACGTGTTGGCCTTGGCGCCCTGGAGACCCCACCCAGGCCACGCAGGCAGAGGCTTGAACCACGGCTCGTCTACTTCTGGGTGAGAAGCTGCTGTCTTCTGGGACACCAGAGGGTGGGACGAATGTGGGAGCCACCACAATGCCTCTGCCCCTCGCCCACCCGTGTACCCCGGAGCATCGTGAGACTTTCTTGTCACCCCTGTGTTCTGATGGGGTCGGAGGCCTCTGAGCGCCCCTTCTGGGAGAGAGCTGCAGGGCACAACAGCACTCGGCTGTGGTCTGGAGCAGGCTTAGCGGTGGCATCCCACAACTCAACTTGCCATCCCCTAACCCCTTTGGTTTCAAGGTCGTCCTTTTTTGGATGTATTGGACCAGAGCCTCAGGGAGCTGACGCCTTTGACTTACTAGTCTTCTCACTGTCTGTGTAAGTAATAAACCTTAAAACCGAAAATGGCTTCTTGTGTCTTTACCAGCCAAATCAATCGGGCCTTGACCTTGGCCTGTCGCTGTCTTTTGTGCGGGTTTGACTGGAGCCTACAGTTCCGCCTCTCAGCTTAACCAAGGCTGATTTAGAGAATTTATCACTTTTTCTTAAAAAGATGTTTTAAATTAATTAATTTATTTATTTGACACAGCGAGAGAGAGAGAGCGCGAGCGCACAAGCAAAGGGAGTGGCAAGCCGGAGGAGAGATAGCAGGCCCTAGCGGAGCAGGAATTTCCCAAAGCGGGGCTCGATCCCAGGATCCTGGGGATCACAACCTGATCTGAAGGCAGATGCTTAATGGAGTGAGCCTCCCGGGCTCCCGAGAATTTATCACTTTTTGTTGCCACACACACAGCTGTAATGACGCCCGTGAGCCTGGGGACGATGACCAGTCTGCAGGTCTTCAATAAATATTGACAATGGACTTGTGCAATTAAGACACAGAGAACTTACCTGGAAGGCTTCCGTTGAAATGATCATGTGAAAAGTTTATTCCTTGAAGAAATATTCTTTCTTTCTTTTTTTTTTTCTTTAAAGATTTATTTGACAGAGAGACAATGAGAAAGGGAACACGAGCAGGGGGAGTGGGAGAGGGAGAGGGAGAAGCAGGCTTCCTGCCGAGCAGAGAGCCTGATTTGAGACTCGAACCCAGGACCCCGGGATCATGCACGACCTGAGCAGAAAGCAGACACTTAATGACTGAGCCACCCAGGTGCCCCTTGAACAAATATTCTTAAGTGGAAACACCTTATTTCCTGATGCAGAGCAAATAAGATGTGATGATATCGTGGTTCTGGACAGATACCCAGAAGCTCTTTCCCAAGAACCCACTAGAAGGAGGTGAGAGAGTCTATAAATTAGACCACGGTGCGTGTGGGCAAACACCTCCATTGACAGCCACAGCGGAGAGTGCACCATGGGCTTCTCGGAGCTGCTCCACACCATCGGCGGCATGGGGAAGTTCCAGATCCTTCAAACTGCCCTCATGATGTTCCCCGCCCTCCTGATTAGCTGTCACAGCTTTCTGCAGAACTTCACCGCCGTAACCCCAGAGCATCACTGCCGGCCGGCCAATTGGACCAATGGGTCTCATGTCCTGGGCGGTGTGGGGGATGGGGACTTACTGAGGGTCTTCATCCCCATGGACGAGGATCAGAAACCTGAGCGGTGCCTGCGGTTCTCTGAGCCCCATTGGCAGATCCTAAGCTTCAACGACACCTCCTCTTTAAGCTTGGACACCGAGGTCTGCCTGGACGGGTGGGTGTATGACCAGAGTGTTGCCTCCTCCATCGTTTCTGAGGTGAGACAAGGCTACAGCTGAACACTGGGTCTTTAGATGCTTTTTTGTTTGTTTTATTTTAATGGAGACGTAAATTGTTCCATGGAATGCTCAAAATTTAAGTGTGCGGCAGGATGACTTTTACATAGGTAAACACCAGCTCAAGATACAGATTGCTTCTAAGGACCCCAGAAGGCTCCCTTGTACCTTTCTACGTCACTACTTCACTACATCACTACACACCCATCCCTAACACCCATGGGATTGTAGTGTGTGTTCTTCAGTGTGCTGGGATGTTTTTCACTCAGTATGGATTTTTAAGAGTCAATCATCTTGATATATAATTTGGGAGCTGTTCTTTCTCAGGGCCACGGAGCATCCCATGGCACAAATATGCCACACAGTCTATGTCCTTTCTACCGAGAAATGCACCTGCACTGTTTCCGGTTTGGGGCTATTATGAATATCACGGTCATGCGTGTTCTTGCACACGTATTGGGTTGGACACAGGTTTTCATTTCTGCTGGGTGTATGCCCAGGAGTGGGATTGTAGGATCATAGAGTGGCCCCAGATTCTGCCAAAGTTTTCTCTGTGTATAAGACATTCGGACATGTCGGAGGGCTCCGTCCTACTGCATACCCCACCCCGACACTTGGTCTGATGATTTTATTTTGCCTTCACTTAGCTATTTGCAAAGCAGTCAGAAAATCGACATGACATCCATTTTCCTGTGTGTGTGTGTGTGTGTGTGTGTTTTAAGATTTTATTTATTTATTTGGCAGAGAGCAAGGGAGCACAAGCAGGGGAAACAGCAGAGAGAGAGAGAGAGGGAGAAGCAGTTTCCCTGCTCAGCATGTGGGGGTCAATCCAGGACCCTGCGATCATGACCTGAGCTGAAGGCAGAGGCTTAACCCACTGAGCCACCCAGGTGCCCTTGTTTTCTTGTTCTCTCCCAAATTTCTCAGACCGCTGAATGAAATGGGAACAAAACGAAGGAAAAAAGGAAGCCTTTCCAGTAAACTGGGTCTAGATTTGTGTTGGTTATCTTTCTTTTAGGGTAGAGGTGTCCTAAGACTTGGGACCAAGTGTTTCATGAAACATCTGGGATAACGTGCTTAATTCATCATGGTGACGCTGATATTAAGGTTTCCGCCATTTAAACTAAAAGGGCCAGTGCTCATGACAGCAGGGTTATGAGCTGAAGGGCAAGCTGTGGGACCGTATTAGCGTGTAAGAGGTGACAAGGCAGCTCTTACTATTCTACGGAAGCCACACAGTGAGGGTACATGAGCCACCTGCTGACAATTGTCTCTTTTCGTCCAGTGGGACTTGGTGTGCAAGCACAAGTCACTGAAGTCCATTGCCCAGTCCATATACATGATGGGACAGCTGGTCGGAGCTACTGTCTTTGGCGTCTTCTCTGACAGGTGAGGGGAGGAGGCCTGAGGAAGTCTCCAGAAGCTTTCAACGAGGCTAGAGTTCATGCTATCCCCCCACTGTCCTAGAGGGGGCAGAGGCTCAGGACCCCACTGGAGAAGACACCCGCACCTCCTTCTCCCTGCCAGACGGCCAGGGCTGCACCCGACACCTCAAACGGAGGGGTCAGGCTAGAGACCTCGCCCCTCCCTGCCCGGGTCCCGGACACCCCACTTCTCTAGAAGACAGTGCCTGGGCCTGCATCTGGTGCGGGCTGGGTGATGACAGCTCCCTTTTTTGTTCTGCAATGAGTTGCAGTCATGAGTCTCGAATTACTCTCTGCTTGGGGATGAATTTGGAGTCACGTGGCCGAAGGCCTTCATCATGGGAATGGTGATGAAGGTGGGTCCGTGGTCTCATTTCTGCCAGCCATGATTTCCCCGTTGGGTTGCCTCCACGGGTCACTTCCCCAGGAAGCAGGAGCCCCTGGGACGGTCATTGTTGCTGTGAATGGCTGATTCTACGGAGCACTCTCCCAGGTCCTCCCAAGAGCCCTGGGTGGCTGCTCCCATTTCAGAGATGACGTGGGGCTCAGCACCACCGGTCCCACGGAAAACTGACTCCAGCGTGGACATTTTGTCCATGTTCTTGGAAGTGAGGACAATGTTCTAATCAGGAAGCAGCTTTGCACTCGATGCCATATCTAGACAGATGATCCTTGTTCAAGCCGAACAGGCCAAGGCACATTTCTGAGAACTCCACTCCCGGGTACAGCGTCTTCTAATCTTTTGCCTCTCTCGGTTTTTGCCAGCCTGTTGGATGCTTCCCCCACCCCCACGCCCACCCCCACCCCGGGCCGCAGAAAGAACATGGCGGGTGGACATTAGCGGAGCTGGGCTCTGCCCCTCTAGGAAACCTTGGAAAGTTCACTTAGCTCTTGGGATCATTTCTGTACAACTGAGGGGCTCTCCCAGTCACCCAGTGACCCCAGTCGCCCGTGTCTCCCCTGGCTGGGCTCCTGGAGCACTCAACTGCAGTCCCCTGTGCTGGGACACCCAGCCTTAAGCTCTGGGCAGGAGGGGCTGGCAGAGCAAAGGCCTTGCTCATTGGAAAGGAGGCCACCTGGAGGGCCCCAGACTCTGCCCTCCCCGCCACCTACCCAGAGGTGAAAGGAGGGAATTAGAGTCCTCTCCATGGGGCTGGCAAGGATCTCTTGCTTTAAACGCCAGTCCCCAGTAACAAGGGGCCTGCAGCCTGGCCAGCTCATACTGTGCATACAGATGGCTGAGAGCTGCAGCACATCCTAGTAGAGCTCCAGGTCAAGAGCCCTCACCTCTGGGAAGAGCCCAGGTAGGAGCTGGATGGACCTGCAGAGTCTGTGAACCCATCTCTTCTCCACTGTTTGCCTGATCCCTTTTGAGACCTCCCCTTGGCTCCTCCTCCCCTCCCCCCACCTCGCCCACCATTTCCCTCCTCTCCGGTATCCCAGCAAACCCTGTCGGCTTTGTATGGCTCTGTATGGTCAGAGACCTGGACCCACCTCCTCCCCTCGCCGCCTCCTAGGCCACCACTCCGGGAGCAGCCTCGTTCCCCTTGCCCCCGGCTGGCTGCAACAGCCTTTGAAGGAGCCTCCCTGCTTCTTCCTATCCCTGACCCCTTCTGTTGCTCTCAGACTGATGGGTAGAGCGATCCTATCAGGTGCAGAACAGACCCTGCCCTTCCTCTGCCAGCTGGCCGGTTCCTAGCCTGTGAAGCCTGATGGGCGTGTGGGCTGCTGGCCCTGCCCGGGCTGGCCCCAGAGCCACTGCTCTGAACCCAGCACCCGCCCCGCCCCTCCTACTCCTTCCTCCTGCCTTTGCACTGGCTATTCCCCCACCAGGGGCATTAGTCCCAGGACCCCTCTTCAGGCCACATCTCACAGCCTCAGAGTACAATGATGGGGATTTCTCACTGGCTGCGGGTGTGGCGCAAGTCATTTCAACTTGAGCCTCTGTTTTCTCATCTGTAAAATGGGGGAAATGACGCTCTTGACCTTAGATGACACACCTCAGTGCTATGTCCGTGGCACTCTGTGGTGTCACCTGCCCAGAGGAGCCTTCTCCGGCCACCCTATTTACAACGACAGCCCCTCCGACGTTCCCTGTTCTTCTCTGCTCTGCGTTGTTCTGTGGCCTCTGACGGTCTGTGTGTTTTACCTACGTATCTTCCTTATTGTCTGATTCTCGCACAGTGGCCAGGGCAGTGCGTACGGGTAGGGGGTCCCATGGGAAGGGGCAAGGGAGCTCCTGGTCGAGGCCTCAGCACTTGGCACCTGCCTGGCACACAGGGGTCTGAGAGGAGGTAGAAGAGAATGAGTATGGGGTCGAGGGTCCCTTGGAACATTAGAGGCACTGCTCACACTCCCTCCCCAATGGGGCAGGGACCAGAAGCCACACTCAGATGCTCATCACAGCCCCATCTGGAAACAGCTGTACTTCAACAAGGAACAGAGCCAAGAGGCAAAGAATTAACCCTCCTCCCCTAGGGGAATTCTAGGCCTTGGCAACTCGTGTGGGGAGGGGTGGGGGCAAGGAGGGAGTCCCTTCCCAAGGCCTTTCCTAGGGATGCGGGGGACTGAGGGGCAGACTGGTGGAGGCAAGCAGGCTGGGGCGAAAGTGGGGGCAGAGGGGCCCCTTGGCAGTCGGACCCCGGGGCTCAGCCGGCCGCTCCGTCTGTCCCGGTTGCAGGTGTGGACGCAAGACAGCGCTGCAGAGCGGGATACTGCTGATGATCGCCACGGGCACGAGCGCCGCTTTCTCGCCCAGCTTCCTGGCCTACTGCGTGCTCAGGTTCCTCAGCGGGCTGGCCATGACCGGCATCATTATCACCAGCCTCTGCCTCGGTGAGTACCCCTGCGGAGCCCCAGCTGCCCCGCTCACCGCTGTGCGACCCGGGGGGCCAGGGGGGCACTTCAGTTACCCTGTCTGGGCCTCCGTTTCCCCATCTGTGATACGGGGTGATAATGATCGAACCTCCCTCATCTCATACATATTTATAGAATGATACCTGGCCCCCTCGAAGACGTTCAGGAAATGTCGGCTCTTTGAAGGTGGTGGCTTAAGCTAGCCCCAGGCTCGAATTCCCAGCCCCCGGGACATATTCCTTGCCTGTGTTGGCGGGGAGCGATCCCAGATGGCCCTGTATAGGGGTGTTACGAAGATCAAATGAGATGGCAAAGTTGCTTGGGATGCTCAGGACAGTGTGCCCTGCATAGCACCGAGCGGGGTCAGAGCCCGCTCATCAACAAGGTTCATCGGGGGCAAGTTCCATAGGGGCCTTGCCTGGGGTCCCTGCCCCTGACTGACCCAGGCTGACCTCTCTCCCTGGCCCTGGGAGCTCACTACCAGCACTGCCACACTTGTCATCCCCAGCCATGGAGTGGACCCCGACGCAGAGGCGGACGCTGGTGAATATCTACACCATGCACATGATCACATTGGGCCAGGTGGTCCTCGCGGGCCTGGCCTACCTCATCCGCCCCTGGCGCTGGCTCCAGGGCACCCTCTCTGTCGCCTATGTGATCATTCTTCTGTACTCCTGGTACGTCAGCTCCCAGGCGCCCCATGGCCCGCGTAGAGTTGCCTTGTCTGGTCTGACTTCACGGGAAGTGTTTGCTGGCCTCAGAGCCGATCTTGGCTTGGCTCTGCTGAGATCTGACCTCCTTTTTTTTTTTTTTAAATACTCTTTTTTTTATGTTATGTTAATCACCATACAGTACTTCATTAGTGGTTTTTTTTAAAGATTTTATTTATTTTTCATGGGCGCCTGGGTGGCTCAGTGGGTTAAAGCCTCTGCCTTCGGCTCAGGTCATGGTCCCGGGGTCCTGGGATCGAGGCCCGCATCGGGCTCTCTGCTCCGCGGGGAGCCTGCTTCCTCCTCTCTCTCTCTGACTGCCTCTCTGCCTACTTGTGATCTCTCTGTCAAATAAATAAATAAAATCTTTAAAAAAAAAAAAGATTTTATTTATTTTTCAAATAGAGATCACAAGTAGGCAGAGAGGCAGGCAGAGAGAGAAAGAGAAGCAGACTCCCTGCTGAGCAGAGAGCCCGATGCGGGGCTCGATCCCAGGACCCCGGGATCATGACCTGAGCCGAAGGCAGAGGGTTTAACCCACTGAGCCACTCAGGGACCCCTTCATTAGTGTTTTGATGTAGTGTTCATGATTCTTTGTTTGAGTATAACACCCAGTGCTCCATGCAATCCGTGCCCGCCTTAACACCCATCACCGGGCCAACCTCCTTAAGGAGAAAAGAGAGGACCCTTGATATACGAGGTGTTTTCATTTGGTTTCTTTTTCTCCATATCAACCTTGGCGAATCGTCCTGCGCCATCTGGGGTTCTAAGTGGCTGCACACTTGACCCCACCAGCCACTGAGAAGAGGTTTACCTTACAAATCCAGAGCCACAGGAAAATAGGCAAAATTCTCAAAATGACAGTGGAGACCCAAACTAGCACCATGAGAGGTATTGAGAGCGCAGCATGAAATGAGAAATGCAGGAGACAGAAAATGTGTACAACATGGTGATAGTTTTGCAAAAACAAACACGTGCCCGAATTTGAATCTTGCGGTAGGACCAAAAGAAAAATGGCAGAAACAACCACCCACCCTTTCACTGCCGCTCCTCCCATTTTGTTCTTTCCGATTTTTCTCTTGGATCTCCCTGTTTCCAAGCGGGCCAGCGCTTGACCTATGGTGATTGGGAGTGTGAGCCCCGTACCTGCACGAGCACTGTGGATGGAGATCCCTTGGCCCTTCCAGCTGGTCAGGGATAGGGTTGGGCTCAAGGCTCTGCCTGTCTGATCGGTCCCTCCCTCCAGACTGGTCCCTCCCTCACCACACGCCCTCTCACTGTTAGGGGTCTGCTAGAATCGGCTTGCTGGCTCATCACCCACAACAAACTTGACAAGGCTGTGAAAAATCTGCAGGCTGTGGCAAGATTAAATGGCAGAAAGGAGCAGGGGAGGAAACTCACTCCAGAGGTAGGCACAAAGGGAACCCACACACTACCCGAACCCTTCTTCCTGAGTTGGCGGTAATTCTCAGTGAGGGCTTAAGTTGGCCTCCTGAGGGTGAACAAAGAGGTAAGTTTCTACATCCAGAGGCAGTTGCTGTCACCATCAGATAGGCAGAGGACCTGTGGGGAAAGTGTCTTGTTACACCCTTTCTCAGAAGCTACCACAGGGAGCATTCCACCAAAACAAGGATGTAAGCCAGGGAATCCAGGAAATAGAAGATCCCAAATAGGAGAAAGGTAAAAAAGAAGGGAAAGAGTTGGACAAAAACCTAGAGAACGATCAGTCTGTACTGAAACAAATGAATAGACATAAACCAGAGGCCTTTCATGAAGGAAAAAAATGATCTTGATAGATTGCTTGTTATACTTTATCCTCTTAACAGGAGTTTTATCGTTCTATCAAAGAATTTGGGGATAAATAAGTGCCAAGTACTTAAGAAACCAAGAATATTAGCAAGCAAATACACAAAAGAGGCAATTATGAACTCCAGGAAAATAAAAAGCTCACATCACAGAAAGAAATGTAATCAGAGTACATGACATGGTTCAACTCTGAATGAGACTTACATTGGGAGAATTACAGAAGGGAAGGGTTAGGTCAGAGGTAGTAGAGTTAAGAGGGTTAAGTCTTCATTCTTTCTTAGCATAAATCAATCTAAAGTTGGAAAATCAAGCCATAGCAGTGTAGCATTTTATCCAAAAATAGGAAATAAGTATGAGAAGAAACACCTAGAAGAGTAGAAGACAGTTCTGGAGAGGGGGAATTGAGAGTGGTACTGGAGAAAGGGGAGGCAGGGACCTTTCTAACTATGAACATGAAGAAACAAAATAACAATGGCTAAGATCCCAGACTTGGGGCCATTCACTGGGGTTTGACTCCCAGCTCCCTACTTAGAGCTCTGTGACCTTGGGCAAATTATTTAACCTTCAGAGCTTCTGTTTCCTCTTCTGTAAAAAGGATTACAGAATCTCCCTTACATTAAATAAGTTAGTTCACATCCAGTACTTAGACCCCCATCTGGCACATAACAAGTACTCAATAAATGGTGGTCATTGTTGACCATCAAGAAACACTAGTTAAAAGAAAAGGAGAAGTTGCTACATAAGAGAATACACGCCCACAATTTGAAGTCCTCTATTTCTCCTTGAGGGTGTGTGTGAAGGAACTGGCCAATGTGGGAGGAATCAAGTAATTGTAGGGCATCAGGAAGTGGAAGGACTAAGGGCCGGAGCCCTTTCTTCCGCCATCCCCACTCTGGTCTTTTCCTGTTAGGTAGTAAGGCTCCACATGCAGGAGGACACAGCAGCCATCAAGGAGGCCCCATTCCTCCTCGATCTTTTCCGCACTCCGGGACTCCGCAGGACAACTTGCTGTATCGCCCTGGGATGGTGAGTGGTGGCCCAAAGAGTGACAACCCCCCACCCGAATCACTCACCTGACGGCTGCTCCTGAGTTGTCATTCCTTGGTGCCCCACTGGCTTGAGACAGAGATGGATGCAACAGATCATGGCGAAGCGATCTGAGAAGATGGGAATACCTGGCAAAGTCTGGAACCAGAGAGTATTGGATTCTAGAATAGGATTGCATCCTATCCGTGGCCAGAATGTTGGAGAGACTCCTTCCATTGGAAAGAAAGGCAAACCATGGGTCACCTTTAGAGTAGGAAGTAAATTGCCGGCACTTTCTCTCCTCCAGGTTTTCCGTAGGCTTCTCCTATTATGGGCTGGGTTTGGATGTGCAGAAATTTGGGTTCAACATCTACTGGACACAAGTGCTGTTTACAGTCGTGGATTTCCCCATGAAGCTGGTGACGGGCCTGAGCATGGGCTACTTTGGCCGCCGAATCACTGCCATCTCTTTGCAGCTGGTGGCCGGTTGCGTGATCCTTGTCACCGCATTTCTTCCTCGAGGTGAGGTTTTCTTCTGGGTCTCGTGAAAATTCTCTTCTGATATGATGGATGACACAGTCTGGTTTGATGATTCAGAGCAGACTAGAGAACCAGATGAACCTTTTTTCAGCTGGTTTCCTGTGATCATGGACAAGTCAACCCACTTACCCTCCATTGACCCTCACAGTTGTTTAGGAAGAATAATTAAGAAGCCCTTATTTGGGGTTGACTGCCTGCCAAGCACTGTGCTAGCCCTTCACATGTATCAACTCATCTGATCGTCATAAGCTGCTGTGGTGAAGCATAAATAAATAAAGCACAGAGAGGTGAAGTGACTTGTCCAAGGTCACACAGCTAATAGGTGCTAACATCGGGGAAAACAACATGATGGTGGCAAGGGCATTTTGTTATAGCAATCTCTATAGTTTTCCATGTTTGAAATAATTTTTTAAAAATCATTAAAGATCCTGTGTAAAAAGTTCATGTCCCAGTGCCCGGCTCATGGAAAACATTGAATAAATTTTAGCTATCATCATTAGGTAAGTTTATAAAGATATAAATCCAGCCTTCTGAGATCTAGTAGCAAGGGATACTAATCTGAGATGGTTGTAGGAATCACAGAAATCTAGAATCCTGCAAGTGGGAGATGTGTTGAAGACTGTCGCATCTATCATTTCACTGATGAAAACCCTGTGTCTGTGGGACAGTCACCTCCCCAACTCCCCAGGACAGGGCTAAATCTCAGCATTCCTCACTCCCCAACTGGCCCTGCCTCATCTGAAAATAGCAACTTTGGTTGGTTGTTAGTTATTCACAGCTCTTTCTCCAGCACCTGCCTACCCTGGGGCTCAGACCAGACCCAGGTTCAGGGAACACAGAAGCCTTTAGGGAGACAGACTGTAATTAATTGCAGTTGAGATCAGTGCCTCAAAGGAGATGTCCAAGGAGCAAGGGAATATATGGTGGGCTCCGCTCAGTGAAACAGATCAGGGAAGTCCTCCTCACCAAAGTAGCATTTGAGTTGAGAAGGATGAGAAGAAGATGAGAAATAAGAAGGTAAATAGTGGGGAGAAGAGCTCGCTAAGGAGGGAGTACCGCCAGTGCAAAGGCCATGGGGCCAGGAGGTGCTTGACACAATGAGATGTCAGAACAGGTGATTGCATTGACATTTCATTAACTCCCTTTTGTCTACACCCCACCCACTGCCTTCTCTCAGACTTGAATACCTTTAAGATGATCCTCTGTTTGTTTGGGAAAGGGAGCCTGGCCGGCTGTTTCAGTTGTCTCTACCTATACACCATGGAGCTCTTCCCAACTGAAGTCAGGTAAGAAGATGGGTCAGAGTCTCTGGGACCGAGATGGCAGCCTCTATCGCTCAGAGCTGGGCCACTAAGGAAACCAGCCTCCATTTGGAAATGGTTTTGTGGTTTCATGTCTCAAAAGAGCAGGCTCATGTCCCTATTTTAACGTGATTTTGGGTATCATAGGACATTGCTCTTGGAATAGTGACCGGAACTTGGCAGGCACTCCATAAATGGTATCATGTGTATAGCTTCAGAAAAATGTCAGTATCCCAGATAGTGGTAGGAAATGAGGAGCTGAGGAGTTGAGTGTTGGAGCAGCACCCAGCACAGAGCACGTGCTCAGTATCAGCTGTCAGGCTTTCCGTCATTATCATGGTTCCCAGTAAGCATCCCCCCGGCCGCACCTGAGATCAAGGTTCCCTTCCCCATGTTGTGCCCCACATGACCCATCCCAGGATCAGGCCCTTTGCCACGCAGCCTTCTTATCTCTCGTGCACCAGCCCTGACACTCAGGGCCTGGTTCATTCATTCATTCACCAAATCCTCTCAGGCTTGGTGCAGGTGCTTGAATTCCGGCGGTGCACCTGCACGGTCCCAACCCTTTCCATGTTCTCTGTCTTCGCAGACAGATGGGGATGAGTGCTGGGATCTTCAGCACACGCCTGGGCTCCCTCTTGTCCCCCCTGGTCTACATCCTGGGCAACCATAGCCCAGTGCTACAGCCGGTGATGTTTGGCCTGGTCCCTATCCTGGCAGCCACAACGGGCTCCTTCCTGATAGAGACAAACAACCGGCCATTGCTGAACACCATCCAGGAGACAGAGAAGAGGTAGGAGACTTCCTGCTCCCATCTCTCCAGCATCTCAGAAAGTCCTTGTAGCCTGTGGGGATGCAGCAGTGGGAAAGGGTCTTGCTGCCTTGGCAGGAGTGGGGCACACCCCCAGGCCCATGTCAGGACCTCTGGGGCCACTCGCACTGCCCCTGCCCCTCCTTCTGTAAATGTCATAATGGCTTCAGGTGATCGTCTGGGAGCCTGAGGAAGCATTTGGAGGTAAATCACACAGGAGGCCATATACAGTGCTGCCAATTTCTCCTTCTATTAAACATCATCACTTTGTATGTGGAGGGGAGCTGTCGCATGGCTAAATCCCTCTTGTCACCTAACCTGTGGCTGCAAAACCACGTGGTAGGGACCAAGTGAATCAGTCTGTCCCTTCAGATGAAGTTCAGCCATGCTTCCTAGGCTAGAAGGAAGACAGTCATCTAATCTACCCACGAAGCACTTCTTTGCAAGTGGGTTCCTTATCTGTGGCTTGGAGGATCTGGGCCGGGCTTGGGTGTGGGGCCGGGCTTGGGTGTGTCTGCAGGTTAGATGGGCTGGGCTGGGCTGGCCTGGCCTGGGGGCACCTCTCAGGGGGCAGCTCTGCGTCTCCATTTCACCCTTCTTCTGGGACAGCAAGCACCCTCCTTCTCAGGGCGGTGGCAGAGACCCAAGAGCCCATCCAGCTCTGAAGCTCTCGCTTTTCCGCTCAGAGCGTGTTGTTCTGTGTCTCTCCTTGCCCAGAGTGAAGATGGCTCGTGACAAGCAAAGAAACGTCAGTGAAAATACCACAAAGAAAGGATTGGCCTCACTTCTCCCAGAAAAGACAAAAGTAGAATGCACAGTGTGATTTCTCCGGACCCACATCTATATTCTGAATGGCCCTTCCTCTCTCTTCACTTTCTCATGTTTTGGAAATGTGACACGTCTTTCCAAGGAAATGCGGTGGCACCTCGCTTGACCGCCATTGAAAGCAATGATAGGGGCTGTGATCTGGAAATATTATAAGGCAGATGAGTCATTCGACTTAGAGACCAACTAAGAAATGACACGTATTGGACAACCCGTGACATTTGAATATGAAGAATGAGCTTTAAGTAGATATGAAGGGATCTGTCGATTTTGTGAAGTGGCATTAGGTTACAGAAGCCAACATCCCTTTTTAAAAAAGAAAAAAGATGTGAAGCTGAAGTATTTAGGAATGAAATGAAGCATCGGGAATTTGCTTTAAAATTCTAGAAAAGTGGACAGAGTGAATGCCAGGGTTGAAGCAGGGAGTTCCTTGACCTTCCTACTTTGGGAGGTGTTTGGAAAATTTTTTTAAGATTTTATTTATTTATTTGGCAGACAGATCACAAGTAGGCAGAGAGGCAGGTGCATGGGGGTCGGGGAGCAGGCTCCCTGCTGAGCAGAGAGCCTGATGTGGGGCTCGATCCCAGGATGCTGAGATCATGACCTGAGCCGAAGGCAGGGGCTTAACCCACTGAGCCACCCAGGCGCCCCTGTTTGGAAATTTTTATGATTGAAGTATTTTTCAAGTCCAACAGCTTTTTTCTATGGTTAATCTAAAACAATGACATGATGGCTGAAAACGTTCCCCCAGGCTGCCTCCCCAAGGGTTTTGTCTCCTCGGCGGTTGCTCTTATCAGACCCTGAAACCCTTAGTAGCCGCAGCTCAAGGTCATATTCTACATTGCCTGTGGATGACCCAACCAGCTCTGTGGGGAGCAGCCCAGGGAGGCAGCCCAGATCACGGGGTGGATGCCTGAGACTCCAAAAGGCCAAAAACCTAGCAGAGCTTCCAAAGAGAGGTGGTGGAGGGGTGTGTCCAAGATACTGATATCGCTAAGTTTGGTAATGGTCATTTTGATACACAAGGACATATGCTTGAGACCCACAGGGCTTCGGTATGGAGAAGAGCCTCCTGTATTTCTGAAAATGAGGGTGTCCGCTGGTTATCACCGAGCTTCTCTATCCAGCATGGGCATGTAAGTGTATGTATTTTTTTTCCCTACACCTAAGTTTCCTCTAACATAGAAGACATATGGATTATTGCGGTGTTCATGTTTTTGTTACTAGCCTCTGATCTAATGATGTTAAATAGAATACAATAAATTCTGCTATGTTTCTCAATTGCTAATTCATATTTTGTTATTTCTGTGTTGTTTACTTATTTATCTGCTTTAAGTATGAACAATTAACCAACATCCAATTCTCGTTTGAATTATGATTATGAATTATATCATGGTTTGTTTTTAGAAATAAAAATCCTTTTTTGAAAACGGATAATGATTGAACATAACTGAATTAAAGTAGTACACCAAAGCGGATTATAAACCTTAACTGCTTCAGAAAACCTAAGTTTAGGGGCTCCTGGGTGACTCAGTGGGTTAGGCCTCTGCCTTTGGCTCAGATCATGATCTCAGGCTCCTGGGATCGAGCCCCACATCCGGTTCCCTGCTCAGCAGAGTGCCTGCTTCTCCCCCTCTCTCTGCCTGCCTCTTTGCCTACTTGTGTTCTCTCTTTATCTCTTTAATAAATAAATAAAATCTTAAAAAAAAAAAAAAGAAAGAAAACCTAAGTTTACGAAGATTTAGATCAGGGGCACCCGGCTGGCTCAGTCAGTGAAGCAAGTGCTTCTTCATCTTCTTCTTCTTTTTTTTTTTTTTTTAAAGATTTATTTATTTGAGAGAGAGCGTGTGATGCCACACACACCGACACACACTCACAGCGGGGAGGGCCAGAGGGGGAGCGAGAGAGAATCTCAAGCAGACTCCCTGTTGAGCATGAGCCCAATACTGGGCTTGATCTCACAACCCTGAGATCATGACCTGAGCTGAAGTCAAGAGTCAGACACCCAGCCAGCTGAGCCATCCGGGCACCCCACGAGGAACTCCTGATCTCAGGGTTTTAAGTTTGAGTCCCACATTGGTTGTAGAGATGACTTAAAAATAAAATCTTTTGGGGCACCTGGGTGGCTCAGTGGGTTAAGCCTCTGACTTTGGCTCAGGTCATGATCTCAGGGTCCTGGGATCGAGCCCCAAATGGGCTCTAGGCTCAGCAGGGAGCCTGCTTCCCCCCCCTCTCTACCTGCCTACCTGTGATCTCTCCCTCTGTCAAATAAGTAAATAAAATCTTTAAAAAAATAAAAATAAATTTAAAAATAAAATCTTTAAAAATAAATAAATAAATAAAATATTTTGATCATACCTGAGTTCAAGAATGATAAATCATATACGAATATGATTCCACATATCATATGAATTTTTCAGAATTTTAATGATTAACTTTAGTATTTCCTATTTTGCTTGACCAATGCCTTAAAAATCTGTATGATATTTGTTTTATTTTTATTTGTTTATTTATTTTTGGTGCAGCAAAACGAGGTTTATTGAGTGATAGTGAAAGGATAGTACAAAGCTCTCAAGGAGGGAGGGGACCCAAAGGGGTTGTCACTGGGAGTTTCTAAGTCTAGGGTTTTTAATGGGCTCATTGGCCAGCTGTTTTCATCTGATTAACCCTCCCTGCACCTGTCATCCAATCAAGTTTCTGTCACCTATCTATTCTATGGGAAAGGATGGAGGGCTCCTTCCAGGGCAGCGTAAAATCCTTCAAAGGGTGGTTTCCTCTTAAGGTGTGGGGGGGTCCCTTGTTTCCGCCTGCCTGCCTTCCAATTATCCTTCATCATTCCCTCCTCTAAAGAGGTAACCCTAACTGCTGTCAGGGAAAAAGGGTGATGACCGATCGTAGCTACTTCCTGCTGGTCAGGGGCATGGATGGGGTGGCAGTCAGGGCTCCTCTCATCAAGATCTGTCATGAGGTCCCCTGTAGGTGTCTGGTTTGACCTCCATGCGAGGCTCCTTCTGAACCACCACCATTTGGAGTTCGATGATCTTTATTCTGGAAGATCTAAAGTGGGTCAGAGCACTTAGGAGACAAGGCCCAATGAATAATGCAAGACCGAGTACAGCCAGGGGTCCGGCGAGAAATAGAGCATGTATTTGTGAGGCGACGGCAGGCAAAAGGAAAAAGACTTATCTGTTTCTTGTGCCTCCAAGACAAGTTTGAGGTCCTCTCTGGGTTCCCAGAAGGATTTCGGGGACCCAGGCTTGAACTTTAGGCACATTGCTGTTGGGAGTTGTCCCTGTGTGCGGGTCTTCCCAGACTGGCTCTAACAAGCACTTGGCCCCCAGGGTGAAGTGGGAGAGGTTGGTTATTTGGGGGCTGGGATTTGGGAAGCTTCTTGCAAGAGGGATGAGATGATTTATTAAATCAAAGACTTCCTTGTCTGTCAGCAGGTCATTGACAAGGAAGGGTCTCCCATATAAGGCGATAGGGAGTAGAGACACCCAATTTTTACTTGTCTCTTGTGCCATTTCATTCTTCCAAGGATTGACATCTTCAGACATAGTGTGATAGAGCCCCAAACCTTGGCTACTCCCTCTGCAGGGCCTGGGGGAGTCCAAGCCAAGGGATCTTCTGGGGCTTTTTTGGTTCTAGAGGGAAAGACCTTAACCCAGTAGGCAAGGGTGTCTACCCAAACCAGAGGATACCTGTCCCTTTGCCCGTCTTCCTCAGGGTAACTTCCTACTCGCTGTTTGCCTCTGGGGACTTGTGAATGGGGGAACTGGTCATTCTTCACGTTTTTCCTGTCCCAGAATCAGTTTCATAGACTCGGGAATCAAGGGAGCCGGCAGCTATGGCTGCCCCTAAGGCACGCCGGCCAGCCCCCAGCCCCCAGATGCAGCTCTTTGCTGAAGTGGCCCACTCGCTGTTGAACTGGGACCCGGCACCTGGATTAGGATGCCCGAGGCCATTCCCTTTCTGTCACATCCTTCACAGTGGAAAGACTTAGAGCTGGGCACTGAGCAAGGCCCTCTTGAGATTCTTAAAAGCTTTCTCTGACTCTGGATCCCACATTAATAGGTGGGTACTGGCTTGTCTGGGTGTCTTTGATCAACCAATAGAAGGGACCTGCCCTTTCTCCGTGACCATGTCCTATCATGTCCTGATAACCTTTCCAACAAGGGAAAGCAGTGGGGTCCTTAAGGTATATGGGGACAGGCACTGCTTATGTTAAGTCCCAACCCACCTTGGCCTGAGATGCCCAGACCTGGGAATTAATATCAGCCTCCATTACAGGGAGGCCATTGCCAGCCTGCCCAGGGGCCATCACTATGAGAGTTTCTCTTTAACTAAGAGAAGTTTGGGGCTTCCGGGCCTTAAGAAAGAGTGAGAGAGGCAGCTCTTCCTGCCCACAGGTCCTGTCCCTGTGCTTCAAAAAAAATCTTTTTGCACCAAAGCTTCTCAAGAATTCTTTCTTGGCTGTTGGCTTCAAACCCTAACATCTTTCCTACATCCCTGTGATGCAACAGCATTCGGGGACTTCACCAGCTGGACCCCAGGGCCTGATGCTCACTGCCTACCTGCTTGTACTCCCTGACCTTTGTCTTACATTTCTCCTTCAGCTCTTCTTTCCAGCTGACCTCAACTGCAGCAAATGAAACCTGAAAACACCCCTTAGGTGATGGGTGATGTGGGAAACAAAGGCAGAAGAAAAATTATTAAATTTCCTCACTACCCCACTGACAGTCCTGGAAACAGGCAGAGGACCTTCTTCCTCTAAGGACTCAATTGCCTCGATGATGCTACTTTCCTAAGGGCAAAAGCCAATCTTAGCCCCACACCCCCACCCCCCAAGATCCTGTAAGTCCACTTTAACATATAAAAATTCCTTTAGAAGATTCCTTTATCTCTAAACCCCACCAAGATCCATGTTAGCGATCACCTCCCCTCCAAGCTTATGGCCCACCGATATACATCTGAAGGGTCTCATGACTAAGGTTTTAT